CCGCCTCTTCCCCCGTCCGTCCGTCCGTCCGTATCCGCATTTTTCAATTTTCCTGTAATTAATATTTTCTGCCGTTTCGTTTCGGTCGTTTCGGTTGTTTCGTTTCGGTTGTTTCGTTTCGGTTGTTTCGTTTCGGTCGTTTCGGTGGTTTCGATGGTTTCGGCCGTTTCGTTTCGGTCGTTTCGTTTCGACGTTTCGCCTTTTAGTACATGCCGTGCGCGATAATCAGGAAAATTGCTCTAAAAGATTTGTTTTTCTGCCTAAGCCAATCAAAATCCGTATCTAGAATAAACAAACACTCCGGAAGTGATTCCTGCAGTCTTTTACCAGGAAACTGTGAAGCTTTACCAAGAATTTGGCGTCCGAAGTTGGCCGAACACTTTCCGATCACGAGAATTGCCATAATAGGCTTAGATTATTTCGCAATTTCCCGAGACTGCTCCGAGCTATAGAATGGAAGATGGCGATTCTTTTGGTCCCCGAGCCGGCGGCGCGAAGCGCCGTGCGAGGGTACTAATTCCCCCCGGCTATTTACACCCGGGGAAACGAAAGCATTAGCGAAGTCTATTAGCGAAGTCTATCGCTATTAGCGAGGTTTAGCCATTGAACTATAAATAAACTGGAAGGCTAACTCAGGGGGGGAAATTGAAGCCAGTGCATTTTAGTTTTTCTGAGTTATGAGCAGAAATACTCAACACTGAACGTTGGGCTATATATCAAATTGAAGCTATTGAAAAACGCTATTTGGTGTAGAAATTTCAAGATTTTAGCTAAAAGGGAAGTACTGAAAAATTACAAACATAATTACCGATAATTTGCCGTTTTGCAGTTGTTTTTGTATTTTTTAAATATTTTTCTTTTCGCTGAAGTCTTGAAATTTCCACACCGAATAGCAATTTTCAATAGCTTCAATTTGATATATAGCCGGACGTTTGGGGTCAAGTATTTCTGCTCATAACTCAGAAAAACTATTTTGGCTTCATCAAATCATAGGCCTTCATCATAGCAGTTAGCCTTCCAGTTTATTTATAGTTCAATGGGTTTAGCAAAGACGACGCGACGTCAAAGACGACGTGAAAATGGCGTAAAAATGGCGTAGGCACTTCCATAGATGGGCATGTCACGCCATTTTTACGCCATTTTCAATGAGCGCGGGCGTCGGTCACCAACGATGGGTGGTCATCCTCACTGATCTCAAAAATATGGCGGACTGTTATGAATAACGGACACTGATTGGTCCAATTTAAAGTTTGCATTATAACGGCTGCATGACGACAGCGAAATAGCAAACATTTGACATTTCTTGATTTGATGAGTTGATGATTGATAAATTTCTTGCAAATACTCTTCATTTTTGCTCGTATTTCTGCAAGATTTTGTAAATTTCAAGAAAGAAAGGGCGAAAGAATCAGCTAAAAGAAGGGAGCCGACGTTAACGAAGGTAAGTTTGTTTTAAATATTGATTTTATAATGGATTTAAAACCCGACGGCCTTTGCGTGTATGAAACAACTAAACAAGAGTACAAGACAGCATATAATTTCAGTGTATCTTTACAGTAATATTGATTCCCTTTTTTATTATATTGAATTTTTCAAATAAAAAATAAAGCAAAGTTATTTGCAAGCGAGAATTTGAAATCATTTTATTGCAAACTCAAAGTTTATCGATAAAGCCATTTAATAGTTAAAGGCAGTTTAGTTTTATAAACAACACTTTAAAACGTTTTGTGAATTGTTTGTGGTTGAATTTTACCTTAAATTGAAGCTTGTATTACGTATAATTACATACCTAACATAAATATGTTGGGAAATTGATAATTTTGTAATTAAAAGTGATATTTTTAGGCGATTTTCATTTGTAAGAATATTCTTAAAAATTATTGTGTTACCATGACAACTACTTTAGATACTTCATGTTCGGAAAATACAACGGTTTTGTCAGCAAGGCGAGGGTTTCTGCATGCATGTATTTTCTAGTATATTTGTTATTATTATATGTTGAAAAGAAGCAAAAAGACGAGCATTTGAATCAGGCGGAACATTCAAAATGCAACAGCAAAATTGATAATGTGTAAGAAATTCGCTTGAAATTGAGCGAGAAACAATAAAATTATATGAATATTTCTGAATATATAGTATCGATCAAGCGGAATTTTTTGGTGGTATTTTCGTATGTCTACTGCAAATACTCGCGAAGTTCTTTAATATTTAATCTTCCCGTCATATACGTCGGAAATTAATATTGGCGGATCGAATTGAGTTAAGAGGCTGTTTTAAATTCCCAAGAGCAGAAAATGATGTTCGCACTTTTCAATACTCGTCCCGCCTGTTCCATTACAACCCGCACGAAAAAAATCACAGCGTGAACCGCACTTATATAGTGCGGATCACGCTGTGATTTTAGGTCTCGGCAACACTTTGTCTGCAACTGCAGAACACCATAGACTGTCATCAATCAAGCAAAACTGATGTGGAGGAGAAGTTGAATATTATTTTTAATGCCTAACGCAGTAATAATTGATTACATGCTTGTCCACAAGGGGCCAATTATTATAAAATTGATTCAATTAAAATATCTCGCAGAATAAAATATTCCGTTGCGATTGTCAAATGTCAACTGACTATATGCGAAGTAGCTAGCTATACTGTAATAGCCTATAACTCGGCTCTTAAGAGGCGTCTCTTACACGATTCCAGCTTAGTCGAAGGTATATAGATCTTAAGACACTAAAAAAGTTTGCGCATAAAACCACTCTCATGGAACATAAATTAAATATAATGATGTTGACTTAATTGAGTCATAATTCTATAATTTTGTAGCTATATATACTGCTATGTCCTGCGTGTGACTGATTTGGTTTGAATTGCATGATATATTAAACAATACGAACTAATTGAGAAAACATACATACATATACATATCTCAAATCAAAATATACCCTCTCAAGTATTCAGAGCTGAAGTATTCAGAGCTGAAAATGGCACATATATATATCGCATGGGCATACTGTACTGTTTTGACCTGTAAAATTAATTTTGAATTATCCAGTATATACCAAATATGTTTTCATTTTAATCATTTGAGGACGTTCTATATAGCTTCCACTGGTTAAGAAAAGATGGCACATCTTCATAACCTGCCAGCAAAATATGGCGCATATTTCTGGCACAAGAGTTTCTATACTGAGAGAATATATGCGCATATAAAAAACACGAGTCATAAATATATGGTAATTTGTAGTATCCATAACAATATGTCAAAAGATCGTTTTACCTATAATCTATACACATATTGTTTTCATTCCAAGGTCTAGCGCAATAGTCAATACATCATGCAATATAAACCAATTTGTTAGCCGTGAATGCTGAATATAGCTGGTACTTATAGTTATGCATGTAGCGGCTATACACCTATACACGTTGACTGAGTACGGCATATTGAGTACCATATTGGTGTCCTAGTAATAATTCTTCTCGTTCTAATTCTCGCGATCATACCCAGGATCGGATCATATTTTTTTACCACAGGATATATTTTTTTACCACAGGATATATTTTCCTGTGATACAGTATACAGTCACGCATCTCCAATTTTATGCTTCATAAATCTACACATGCACTTATTTTCTTATAGCTTCACATTTATGCAAATCACAAGTCGTTGTTTTTTGTTTGTTATCCTTAGTTTCATCAAATACAACATACTTTTAGTCATACATTGTGCCACTCAACAACACAAGGCCATCACATCATATTTCACACTACATTTTTTGATCTACTAAACATTTAGGGACTATTAATTGTGACATAAAATGAGATAGTTATGTGTGTAAAATTCAGCATTCCTGTAATCTGTATGCGGCGTTTCGTCCTTCATGGTCTCCTCAGCAGGGATTTGGGGTTGGCATATGTGTGAGAAGGACACAGAATACAGAAACCGATTTGGATTACAGAGTGAATAAACGAAAATAGCAATATATGCGTATGGCTATTGTAAAATAAATGTAAAGTATAAACTGTCTTACCAAATTCGCTGCCATTTCCGTCAAACCAACTTACCAACACGTTGCCATTGGACCATGGTTGTAATTTAGGCCTATCAGGAATGTTGTATATGTATATATCAATCGCGATTGTACTAATTATGCGTTGGATATGTGTGAATGGTCCTTGGCTAAGCAATTTTGAATCAAAATGCTTTTTGTCGTTAGAGCCATTGTTAAAATTCCAAACGTCGAGACTGCAACAACGTCACTTCTTCGTCTTGTACCAGAATCGAACAAATTGAATGGTGCGAGATTTCCATCGCTGCCGTAAATATCTTCGAGCTTGAGTTATCCGGCGAACGTCTCCCGCCAATTTTTTGAACGCAATATATTCTGTTGTTGGTTTCGATTCGGTTGGTAGCCGTGCAAAGAGTCATTTAACGCGTACCAATTTGTCTTTGGATCAACAGTTCTAGCAAATACTCGATGATATCGCTTCATTTCAAATAAATCGAGTGTGATGTTAGTTTGGTCGTGCAATATACCGAAAAACGCACCATGTCAGCTATACTCCGCGCAATTGAATCTGGCGCGCTATAGCGCATACACAGCCTTTGTCATTGGTATTAGTGTTGACAGCTAACTTCATTATATTCACTTAATAATTGCTAGAATTTTGATATTTGCACTTTAAATATTAATATTAGAGGTTCGAGATGTATAGAATATCAAATCAGCTTGCTCATTAACGCAATTTGTACACATGCGTCTGTCAACAGAACCTACACCTGGCTCAGCCGTGCTATGGTCACGAACACCTCCAGATTTAATTCCTTCACACATCGTGCTTGTTATAATGTGATACCGGCCACTAATGAATCAGAGGTGTAGCCAGGATTTTTGTTTAGGGGGGGGGGGCAGCAAAAATCCAGGGTGGGGCCAAAAAAATTTTCGGACCACAACATTTTAAATCTCCTTCCCCCCTTCCCCCCCCCTCCAAGTCGACAACTTTTTTGGTAAAATTTTTCGGGACAATAACATTACAATTGCTGTCGTATCACTTTTCCCGATTTCCATATCACTTTTTCCGATGCTTCACCACGAAGATTCCGACAACATTGACAATTTTCCGACGGGTTTGAACATGAAGCTATACAGGATGTTTAAAAAAAATTGCTATGAAAATTCAACAGGCTTTTGTGCATCACAAACTTAACTAAACAATTCAATTTTTACCTAGGACGAAAGAGCTGTTATTTATCTTTTCTATGATATATTTCTTAAACCGTAACGATGAGAAATGGCCACATACTCGTCAAATAAAAATTTTTGGTCAAAATCACATTCTTCCACCGTTGGGAATCAAAAATACATTAATTGTGAAAAGTTAATCAATCCAAAAGCACCGCGACGTTGCTGCAAAGATACTTGTTTCGTAAAACGTTTTGATTACGAATGTTCCCTGTTCAGGTATGGCAAGCCAACTGTAGCAATATTCAATAAACACATTCAACGTCAATTCAATGGAAAATTCAACGTCAATTCAATCAAAATTCAATTTCAACGAAAATTCAACTTCAATTCAATGAAAATTCAACTTCAATTCAATGGAAATTCAACTTCAATTCAATGAAAATTCAACTTCAATTCAATGAAAGTTCAACTTCAATTCAATGAAAATTCAACTTCAATTCAATGAAAATTCAACTTCAATTCAATGAAAATTAACCGGAAACGTTAGCACACTTTACATCCGGGAACTTAGCACTGTACATCCGGGAACTTAGTAAGTTTGCCGCCATTTTGGAAATTTAATATGGCGCCAGAGTATGGCGCGGTAAAGTCATGAAAAACGAGGAGAAACATTTTGTATATTTGTTTATATTTCGATAGTTTAATATGGACGGTGATCAATTAAAACAACTCGCGTCTTCGCTCGGAGAATGTTCAAATATTGTTAATCGCATTTTATCTAATTCTGATGAGCAACCAACAAGGGAATCTAGTTCTTCAACCTGAAAGTGGAAAATTACCTCAGAAATTTAGACATCACCAAAGCGAGTGGCCCTGACAAGATACCAGCACGTCTACTAAAAGAATGTGGTCGGCACATTGCGCCTAGTATCTGTGAATTATTTAACGTATCCTTGCGTGTTGGACGACTTCCGGTAGAGTGGAAATCAGCGAACGTGACACCAGTTCACAAGAAACATCTGAAAGAACCAGCGGAGAACTACCGACCGATATCGCTTTTGCCTATCATTGCAAAACTATTGGAACGTTGCGTATGTAGGCGACTATACGAACACGTAATTAGCGCTATCTCCTTAGGACAACACAGTTTCCTACGCAATCGATCATGCACTACACAACTGCTGCAAGTTTTACATAAGATTGGAGAAAACCTTGACAGTAATATTCAAACAGACATTGTCTACTTGGATTTTGCCAAAGCTTTTGACTCTGTCGATCACGGTTTAATCTTGGCAAAACTCAGGCAATTCGGTGTACATTCGAACATGCTAAATTGGTTCACTAACTACTTAACTGGTCGGACCCAAAGAGTTGTCGTTGATGGTGTTGCTTCAGGTTGGTCCTCAGTAACATCTGGTGTACCACAAGGTAGCATACTTGGTCCAATGTTGTTTGTATTATTCATCAATGATTTACCCGACATCATTCCCGATATATCAGAAACTGCTTTGTACGCTGACGACACAAAAACATTCAGGAAAATTACTTGCGAAGATGATGCTCGCCAATTACAACAAACCCTGACAAACCTAGCCACCTGGAGCAATACCAACAATATGAGGTTCAACGAGTTAAAATGTGAAGTGTTGACTGTGTCGCGAAAGAAACAACCTGTGGACTTCACATACCGACTGGGCTCAACCACTCTTACTCATGTTGAAAAAGAGAAAGATCTTGGGGTTACAATGACTGGAAAGTTATGTTATGCCTGTGAAGTTTGGTCCCCATACATCTGCTCACAGAAGACAAAGATAGAGCGTGTGCAGAGACGAGCCACTAGATGGATATTGAAAGCTAGAAAGGGTGATTCCAGCTACAATGAGCGTCTCGTTGATCTGAATTTACTACCTTTGTGTTATGATAGAGAGATAAAAGATCTAATGTTCTTCTACAAGGCTCTTTATGGTATTTCCGATCTCAATGTTCATGACTATGTCTCGTTTGTAACCCATAACCACTCCCGTCTATGTCGTAATCCCAACCTGTTGCTCAAGACTCCATTGTATAAAACCACAACATATCAGAACTCATATTTCAACCGGATCGTGAAATTATAGAACAGTGTTTGTAAAGTAGCTCCACCAAATACATTTTCTAGTGTCAAAACATTTAAATACTACCTCTTTAATTATTATTCTATGTTAGTATCGACCGTATTCGATGTAAACTTGTTATGTACTTGGTCTATGTCACGTGACTGTTCCTGTCATAGGAGTTAATTGTCTTGTTGTATAAACTTGTTATTAGTATTTACATAGTAAACTATATTTACATGTATTCTGTTGGAAAGGTGCCTTGCATGGATAGCGCAAATTATTTACGTTCCGTTCGCACCTCTTCCATTTGGGTAATATTCGTTCTTCGCATGCATAGTATTAGTACGTCTTTTGTAAATAATTATTATATTTACCCAATAAAGTATTTAATTAAAAAAAAAAACAAAAAAAACCCCCAGCTCACCCTCAACTGTCGACAACAACACGGTTGCGGATACGGTCGGTCGAGCGCGGTTAATGCTGCAGCGGTCCACGATGGCAGGCCTGTGTTCTCGCCTAAATCAACGAGAACGCTTGCGAGCTTCCCCAAGATCAGCTTCTACTGCAACTGGTAGTAGCGAAGCAAAAAAGCCGAAAAAGAACAATGTCAATGAGCAGCAGAAGCCTTTTGAGTTTGCCTTGACAAACTATGGCGATGAAGATGAGTGCGACCGCTGCGACGAATACATGATTACCAGCAATAACATCATGCTTAGAGGATTTGTTAATCTGATGACCACAGACAGTGAATCAAACGTACATTCGAGCAAAAATTGGCGAGGCAATTAGACTGAAATATCCTTTGGTTAGAAACAATGATTTTGTGTTTCTTCGTGCGAATCGTCGTAAATTGAGTATACCAGTTACTTCTCAAGAGTATTCCTTCAAGCAAGTGAAACTGCTTGCTGGCCAGGGTGCCATTTATATCAAAATGAAAGATGGGTTAAATTGTTTTTGAGGAAGAAGACAGAACTGCCAGCGACGGTGATGGTGCCATAGAAGGTATTGTAATTTATGTCCTAATCAGTTCCAACCGTGACTGACCTCCCCCCCCCTAATTCCCACCCGAAATTTGTTCATTTTGTTGAAGTGTTGAACCGCTCAAAGAAATAAATATAGTTGCATAATGGGAGGGGTTGGTTGATTGGTGGTCATACTTGGAATTGATCGAGACGTAAACGTTATATAATTTGTGATTATATAGAGAACAATGGCTGATCGCATTATTAATCTGCACCCCCCCCCCCTATTGAGGACATGTGGAATTTCCAATGGCCCCCTGCAAAAGTGAACCAAAAATGAAGGAATTTCCATGGGAGGGTCCAAATTTTAAAGCAACTCTGTGGAAATTCCAAAGGGTAGGTAAGAAAAATGAGTAAAACATATGGAATGTCCATGGGATGGTCAACAATGGAAAAGAAATTCCAAAGGATAGGATAAAATTTAGCAAGGAATTTTCCAAGGGATAGCTACTAATCAAAGAGTCAATACGGAATTTCCACTGGCTAGATCGAAAACCGTCAAGGAATTTCCATGGGATGGGTTAAAAGTTCATAAAAAATTTGCGGAAATTCCATGGGCATGGCTAAAATTCAAAAAAAATCTGCGGAAATTCCACAGGGGAGGCTAAAATTTCGCTTAAAATATGTGGAAATTCCAGGGGAGGGGGGACCAAAAAATGGATGTCCTCAACAGGGGGGTTTGGATTAATAATGCGATCAGCCAATACATGGGTGCACGGAAATACAACATTTATTTTGAGTATTGAACATGATATCTCAAGCGTGAGCACAGCGAAGGAGTGAAATGTTCAACACGAGAAATAAATCTGGTATTTTGAAGCATCCATGAAGTTTTCTGTTTATTATATAAAGTGCAGTCTTTTGAAAAGCCAAAATTTGTTATCTTTCAGAAACATTGTCCAGGCCAGCTTTTTCTATGGATGAAGTAGTGGAATTGCCTGCACCTGAGAAAACAGTTGAAGAAGTACCAAAACCAAAGAACCTGTGGGTTTTAGAAGAAAACAAAGGAGAATCTAGAGCAAGCTTCCGAGGTCCATTGGAATCAGTTGCATGTGATTGTGTCGATTATTGTAAAAGTAATGACATTACAAATCCTGTAGAAATCTTACGTTATGTCCAAAGTTGTATTGTTACTGGCAGGCCATTGGATGTACAAGATGTCACTGTCAGCTAAGAAGGTGAAACTTCCTACATCTTAATTAATAGATACGATGTTTTAAAAACTGCATTTGAAGAAGTGAAATCCATTGAGAATCCAAGAGTAACTTGAAGTGTCTTTTTATAATGAGACCGCTCAGGATAATGGTGGACCCCGCAGGGAATTTTTCCGCATTTGCTTAAAAGAAAACAAGACTACATATTTTGATAATGGCCTCAAAGCACATCTTGCGGACGACTATACCATTGTTGGGTTGATAATGGCCCTCAGCACCTTGCAGAACAGAGCTATTCCAAGGTTCCTAAATGAGGAAGATCTCCAGGCACTGTTTTCACCAAAGACGCCCACCAATCTGTGCATTGCAAAGCTTCAGAATGGTTTTGACATGCTCGGTCTTTGTCAAATAGGACATTGTTTACCAACATTCCGAAATTTGTTCAGAGCTTCCCCCGCTGCTTCGTTGACAAGAAGAAAATTGATTAGCCTTCTTCAGCCGAAGTTTTCTGAAGTCGGCTCTAATGCATACCGCCGTGAAAATGAAATCTACGCATTATTTCCCAAGTATACCAGAAAAGCCGCAAGTGGACAACGAGGATCAGTAACCCTGGAACATATCCTTCAGTTCGCAACTTGTAGTGACGAAGAACCACTTCTTGGTTTTGCTGTACACCCTTGCATCGAGTTTGTGGATGCATCATTTGAAGGCAATTCTTGTTGATCATACCTCCCAACAGCCAACACGTGTGCAAATACTCTGTACATCCCAAAGTGTTCAGACAACAATTCCACTTTGCCAAGTGAAGAAGAACTCTTTCACGCTTATGATTGTGCCTTTGCGAGCGCTTACTTTGGACACATGTGAATGGAGAGATCTTGTTTAATCAAAAACCAAAACATGACAATTGAAGGTTACTGCGGAGTTTTAACTCAATACTTGTGTTTAGATTGTTTAGTTATGCTGAAACTGTTGGCTATTGTTAAATAGTTGTTCAAAATTCAAATTGGTTGGTTCATTTGAATCTTAATTTTGTATTAACAGATACTGCTAAACTTTAATAGCAAAACCTGGTAAACTCAAAAGATTTAAAGTGGAGGTATTTGTAACATAATAAAAGGCGAAACGTCGAAATGAAACCACCAAAACGACCGAAAAAAAAAGGCCGAAACCACCGAAAATATAAATTACAGGAAAAATGGAAGTTGCAAAATATTAAAATATGAATTCTACGGGAACTTTTTTGGAAATTGTAAGACAATTCGGGGGGGGGGGGAGTTCGGACAACCTAGAGGACTTTGACTGCATTAGCATAGAATACCAATCTATTCAGAAAGTCATCTCTATTGTGTTTTGCACACGCGATGTTTGTCATCTATCCGCTCCTTGGCAAGTGCCCTAAACAGAAGCACGTTAGTATTCTGCGCTAATGTAGTCAAAGTCCTCAAAAGCTCCCCCCCCCCCCCAAATTGTCTTAAAATTTCCAAAACATTTCCCATAGATTTCATATTTTAATATTTTGCATTTTTCCTGTAACTTAAATTTTCGGTGGTTTCTACTGCTACTGTTTCGTTTCGGCCTCTTCGTTTCGGTGGTTTCGTTTCGACGTTTCGCCTCTTAGTACATGCCGATATATGCAGGTCAGATTATAATAGATTATAATATAATATGATATACTTTTGAGCCACAAGAAGTGGCACAAAATCTGTTAATATATTAATATATTAATAAATGTCACAATATTTGTTGATCATTTTTGTGCTTTCTGCATTGTGACCTCTTTAGTTACAACTCTGGAGATATTGAAGGGTGAGACTTCTCAGCAGAAGTACTTTAGGTGTAGAACACTCCTTGTTCCACCTCCTGTGCATGCTAATATCACCATGTCAGGCTAATATCACTTAAATTGTTATATATTGTTCAGAATAAATATCAACGCAATCAAGTATTTGGTGACACAGACACATTTATAGCAGGTGAAAAGCTAGCCATGGCAATGTGAATCTACAATACATTTTTAAAGATAATGATTTTGAGACGGTCGTTGGAAATATTTATTTATCACGAGTTTTATGGCAGCCGAAAGCTTGTGATAAATAAATATTTCCAACCAGAATGCAAATCAGTAAAAATTTGCCTAGATTAACGTGTTGCTATGGCTAGCTTTGCCACTGGTTATGGTCTATAGCTATTACATCTATGATTAAATGTTATCTTGGATGATCTGGTGGATCATTTCATAAATGTCTATTCCCATTTCGGTTGATGGCATTAGGGGGTCGATCCTATCCTCAACATATGATTGAATAAGCTGATTGTCCCCAGGTAAATTAACTGGAGGAACCACCACATTGTTGTCACTATCCTCAAAAGGAGATGGTGCTGCTGGATCAATGCCATACACTGCTAGATCGTCAGGGTCTTCATCCAATTCCCCGTGTGCTAATGGGTTGTTTGTATTAAGCATACCATTTACCCACATCTGATATGGAGACCAGTGATTGGCTGTTCTTACCCGGTGATGATTAGAACCCTCCAAAAACTCACGAAGAGCAAAATTTATTCTTGGAATAAATGTCAAATGAAGTGCAAACAAATCGATAGGGCTGTTGATGTTAAGTAAACCAGCATCTTCCATTGCATAAAATATATAATAAAAAAAAAGCTACATACACACCTAAACACATCTCTCCAAAGTCTTTCAATTCTCTGGTTTCTTGTGGAAGGGTCCGCAATAAAACTTCCCCTGCCTTCACCTCTTGCACTCACCATGGCATCGCATACCAATACGTTTTCCACCCCATGGTCAACGCGAATACGTGATGGCCATAGGCCATCTTTCTCAATTGCATTCATGAACAGTTCCAAAACAGTTTGCGAGAGGTTGTTGTTACTGCATTTCAGGAACATGATTCGTCTTGAAAAACCATCAATGCACCCGTGCACCACAAGGCCCCAACGAATAAGAGAGTGGTGACCATCCAAATGCCACAATGAATTGGGCCACGGTACT